TATAAAAAATTAAAGGGTGGGTGGGCGGGGCTAATACTTGTTAAGATAAGACTTATCTCAGCAGATGACAGGTCCTTGTTTAACACGTACACTTCTTCTTCAAAAATTATATTAATCGGACCTTTGATTGTTTCAGTTCCGCATCGCAGTAACCAGCGTTAAATCTGGGCCCATAACCTGTTATTGCAGCTTTATTGTACGAAAATACAAATATGGAATTGACATTCAAAAATGATTTTAACAATTATTAGCAGCACAAAAAGCAACAAGACTCCACGTTTTTCTCCACATCATGGTAAAAATCCCCTAATTAATTCCCCGCGTACTGAACGCACTTAGGTAATATTCAATCAACAATTACCCCTTGCCGCCGCCGCCCCCGGCGCGTAAAACGTGCTCGTTCCTCGCCGGAATTCCCTCCGGTTTCATCTCGACGCCCACCACGTCGCAAACAATTAATTGCGTCCCGGAATTGGTCCGGCCGCTTCCCGATTAAAAAAATAAATAAGGAGGCGAAGGGAGCGGACGCCGCGTCCACGCCGCCGCCGCTCCACGGGCCATTTGATGGATTATGGCGCACCGAAATCTTGGCAAATATTTAAAAGGGGATGAGGGTTTAATTAAGGCGCGAGGAAACGGTCACTCGGAAAACAACAGGTTCACTCATAGGAACCGTATCGATCGGGGAGAGATTTATTACGCCACGTACAACGAGATAATGCGGCTTTTTTTCAACCAGAGAAGAAGAAGAGAGTTAATTCTGAGGAGAGGAAGGCGTCGCGACGCACGGCTTCATTGCAAAGGTCGCTCCAGGAATTCCTCGAGGATAATGGAGGGGTGGTGGGAGGATGGGGCTGTGTATTAGGGTAATGAATGGTACGGTGGTTTATGAGTGCTGTGGACTTAATAAAACCGTGAAACGTTTTGATTAACCTCATGATTAATAATTAGGTGGGCTTGCAGTGCGAGTTTCTAGTTCAGTGGCGGCGAGTTTAAATGGCGTACGCCAATAATTCGGAATTAATAATTTAGCGATTAGGTAAATGTGTAATTAAACGGCAACGGACTGGCGCGAAAAATGATGAAAATATTTACTAAACGGGTTTGCGTCTCTGTTTAAAGCACACGGTGCGACAGAGATTACCGATCATGTTTTAGTACGTATTAACACACGGGCGAGCTACTAGAACCACGATTGGTACCATAAATTTTAAAAACTCACTAAATTTCAACAGGTGACGATTTTCTCGATATTCAAAAAACCGACAAATATCCTGTTTCCGATTTCAATTACGAATTTCGTTGTTTGAGTCTAAGCTTTTCCCATTTCCTCAAATAAAAACGCTTTATGACATATATACGCCCACTAGATATCATGATGACATCGGAGACATCCCTTGGTATTAGTCAGAGTAAACAACCGGACTGGGCCTCTCTGACGGACTCATTAAATGAACAGAAATTTTAGTATCGAAGTGGTTCGACCCTTGGCTTTGACTTCACACCAAATAGCACATGTCACTATAATATAAGTTTTTGTATCTGCATACATACATAATTTTTTTGAAAACTTGCAAACACGCCAGGATTAAAGAGACCATTCCTGGGACAAAATGGCGTTTATTAAGCAAAGTTTGATGCAAATAAGTTTGCACATTTTTTGCGATAATACTTAACACATAATTTATCGCAAGTAAAACCCACTCGAGCGTTTTGAGTAATTAATGAATTCGAAAAGGATTTTATTAATTAATTTGGTTTAAATTTAAATATGCAAAAACCCACCGTCTATGAGAAAAAAATAGATAAATAACAAACTTAATTGGGTTTCGGTGTTTTAATAGAGATACACAATATTAATAATTTTTATAAACGAAAAGTTTTTTCTAACACGCGAGGATTGCGTGCATCCTTGTAAAATTTCTATTTAGGTTTTTCCAATTGGCTAAATCAATAAAAGGTGACCAAATTTTGATTTTCAATGAAATTTTTTCTTTTTTTTATATCTACCCATAAATATCTTAATTAAACTCAACTGCTCTTGTAGACTTCAGTTATTTTGTTATAACTAAGTCGGTGTTGCCCTCAGCCAGGACCTGTCATGGTCTTTGATCTATTTTAAAGAGTATAGCAAAAATTAAAACGGCTGCGTTAATATTTAATACATCATTTACTCGAGCAAGAACCTTTCTATAACGTTAAAAGTAATTACTAAAATTCCCTTCGGCTTCCGGATTTTATTATTTCCTTGAGAATTTTATCCCTCTTTGCAGGAATGCACCTCCGGCGAATAAAATCACCAAACTATGCACAGTTTTCGGTCATTTTTGACAACGCTATAGAATTTTATCGCACAAAAAAATAATTTGATTATTACCGAGTTAGCTACGCCTCGAATAATTTGTCTAATTTGACACTGCCATAATGAGAACAACTTATTAATTTTTTGGCATGCTGTGAAAAAAATTGCTCGGAGGTCATTTCGACAGAACTTCCCTCGCCCTTGAAGTAAACTCCAACAAAATGATTTTGCGATTTTTTGGAAACAATATGAAATATTTTTAAAGTAGATAACAGGAAAAAATGTATTCTTAGTTTCTCAGTACATGCTTGACTACGGTTTATGACTACATTTCGAAAGAATTTATTTTTTTCGCTCTATATTTAGAAGATTTGGCTAAAGTGTTCCAAAAAAATTGTTAAATTGTACACAATCTACCACCAATTACAAATCCTAAATGATTTTAGTTAATGCACGATATTTATAAAATACATCTAAAATTTCACAACAATCAGTCCAGTAGTTTTGGATAATAAGCTACTTTTTTATACGTCGAAGAAAACATGAAATTATCCATTGACCTTATTGTAGAACCTCACAAGATACACTGGGAAAGTAAAATTTGAAAACATTAAAATTTACCGGCTTTTTTAAATTCAACGTCTGATCTTCAAAATATTTTTTCAGACGATTTACCATGTTTACGATAACCTTAAAACATTTTACTTCACAAAAATCAGACTATTCGTGTTTTTTTTCATTTTTTCGATATTTCAATATTTTGATTTTATCATTTTTCTTTTTTCATTGTGAAATTTTTTAATTTCTGGATATTTCAATTTTTCAATTACATATTCAACTTCTACACTAATTTTTCAGTTTTTCAATTTTATGATTTTGGAATTTTTCCATTTTTCAATTCCAAACGGGACGTAATAGTAAAGTATACGTCGAAGCCTCAGAAATAAAAAAAAATAAGATTGTACAAATTCCAGAAACTTCAAAACAATTTCAAAAAATTGCAAAAATAATGACAGCTTTAATAATAATGTAAAAATTCTAAAATTTTAAATTAAAAAAAATACGAAAATTTATATATTAAAGAACTACATAGATGTCAAAAATAGTAAAATGCTTAAATTTTGAAATTCTCTAAGAATTCCTAGAAAATTCAGAACTTTCAATAGTGTCAAACATTCAAGCTTTCGAACTACTAAAAGAAATAATAAAAACTCCAAAAACGTTGGAAATTTAAAAAATTTTGACAATTCCAAAAATTATTCGATAACCTAAAAGAATTTCAAAAACGTCTACAAATTCCAGATACTCCATATCGCCAAAAATTTACAAAAAGACTAAATATTTTCAAAAATTTCAGGGACCTAATTTAAAAAATTTCGAAAATGCAAAAGTTCTAAGAATTTTATTTTGCATTCAATTTTTCGGTTTTTCAATGTTCTGCTTTTATAAAAATATATTTTTTAAGACGATTTACGATGTTTACGATAACCTTAAAATAAAACGTTTGAAAAATTTTTAGAGCATTCGGTTTTACATTTTCAAAGTTACTTTGCAAAATGTTATACAATTTTGATCTTTGAGAAAAAACTCAAAACGGATTCATGAACTACAAATATATCGCATTAAAGGCAGAAAAGGGGCGTGGCCAATATGAATTTCAAAGTGACGACGTCATCAAGTTCTTGAAAATCACGCCAATCAAATTAGTTGAGCAGCGGACGCACGGACGCCGACAAACAGACGAAAACGGGAAACCGCCATTTTTACACATTTTTTAGTTTTAATTTATTTTATAATTGAATTTTTGCAAATGTCAAATATTTTTCCCCGACTAGTTAAAATGTTAGGTTATAATCAATAACCCCAATCTCATTCCAGATAAATTTGACCGCGTTCGGTTCCGCCAACACCCAAGTGTAAATAATTTAAGCGCCATTTCATTGTTTTGTTTGATTTTTCCCTATTGGTAGCACTGTAATATTCGTCGCCAAAATAACGACTCGGAATAATAAATAAGTTTTCAATCAAAAAAGTATGACGTCCATTGCAAATTTGGAACGATATTTCGGTCCAGCTGAATTTTTGATTTTTGATAAATCAGGCGAATACCGGAATGTGCTTTTGCACGCTGTATATTTTATCAAGTCTGGAATTTATTTATAAGCAAATCATCGGTAATCAATCAAATAGTTTCCGGGTAGCCGTGAAATTAAAGCGGCAAAGAAATTAGTGGTAAATAAAAAATTATAAAATTTGCAAATTAAAAAAAATACCGGTTGTCAAAATAACGACTAAGTTGAATAAATAAGTTTTGAGATATCTTTAGAACGAGAATTCAGTCTAACTGAATTTTTGGTTTTCATCTAAGCAGATGAATATTTGTATGAGCTTTAACTGTACTTTTGCATCAGATGACAATAAGTAAATAAAAAAGAAAAAAAAAACATGAAAAAGTTTTACAGATTAATAATTTTGCAGTTTGTGTATTTGATCAAGGTACGTCTGAGATTTCTTTATAAACAAATCATCAACAATCAATCATGTGATCCCCCGCATAACCTTCTGGAGGCCCCACAACAAGCAAGAATTTGTTTTCGTGTTGAGTGTGCAACCCAGGGCGCCCCCAGGTCACCAACCACGCCGCGAAAGCGCCGGCGAAATCCGCCTCCTAAAACTCCGTCGAACCGCCCCCACCTACCTTGAACGGCGCATTCGGCACGTAGAGCGGCGGGTCCTTGGCCGACCCCTCCAGCTTGTCGTTGACCGGCGGGATGCCCTCGTCGGCGTCGCACACACTGTACCGGCCCACGATCGCGTCCGCCGGCTTGGCCTCGTAGGCCTGGGGCCGGCCCACGTGGAAGCCCTTCGCCTTCACCCAGAAGCGGAACTTGGAGTTGTCGGCGCTGACGATCTCCTCGCCGCGCAGCGTCCGCAGGATGCGCGCGTACTTCTTCAGCGTGATCGTCTTGGTCTTGGCCAGGTCGCCGTACGTCTGGATGACCCAGGGCTGGTAGGCCGCCAGCATGTCGTCCTTGCCGTCGACGCGTTGCCGCTTCACGTTGTTGTTCTGCTCGGCGCGCCGCGGCGGCGGCGGCGCCTTGCGCTTGGCCGCCTTCTTCGGCCGCGCTCCGCGCTCCGTCAACATCGCGCTCGCCATGCTGCGGTCGCGCACTCGCCTGCGTCTCGCGCTCAGAGATGAGATCGGGACGCCGGGCTATCCCGTACTGGTGCGGTGCGTCTCGGTGAAGCACCGACGGACGCGGGACCCTACGCCGCATCCCCACCACGCGCACACCGGCCCGTGCACGGATCGCAGTAGGCGCCGATAAGCGGTGCGGTCGAGAGCAGTGGACGCGGCCGGGGCGGGGGGCGGCGGGTCGCGGTTGGGACGCGCCGCTGCTGACTCGGTAAACAAAAATAGCGAGCGCCGACGACGGACCGGCTCCGAAAACCTGAACACACCTAAAGTAAACCATTAATAATAATAACAATAACAATTATAGTTTTTTTATTCGCTCGGAATATTTTTTCAGAGTGGCAAACGGTAATCCTCGTCGCACTATAGCCACATAATACGAAAGAAATGATTAAAAAAGACAAATATTTTATTAGCAAAGTTAAACAAAAAAATGTTTGGACCACTGCTCTTTTTTTGTACTTATTTGTTTATGAAAATGGAGCCCGACGTTGGTCCTTGCGCCAGAATAATTTCCAAGAATTATAAATGACCACAAAAGATGTTTGTTCTGTCAATTCTGACTCTTAAAGCAGTGTTGTGTGAAAGTATTTGCATTTTTAATTAGCGCTGGGAATTCAAAAAAATTATCGCTGCACAAAGAATATTCGACGGCAAAATTCTACTTTTCACTCTTTTAAGGACAATTTAAGGGACATTTATTTCCCTCATAGTCTGTCAAATACGAAAAAGCAGAGGAAATACGTTCCTGATCGTAAGCTAAACTACTTTTATTTTTTATCGACGTTTCATGACCCCTAGAGTACGAAAAAATGGATCGCCCGTTTCCGTCTGTCTGTCTGTCTGTCTGCCGTTTGTTAGGATTTTTATTAGACATATAATCTTGTACATGGTAAAACGCTAACCAAAATTTATTTAATCATCCCCACCAACAATGTGATGACGCCACCTCAACTTATAGGGACTATCGTAAAAAATAAAATTCGTAAAATTAAATCTTATGAATTTTCGAAAAAGTTGAAGATTCGTTGTATTGTATAGAATAAAATAAGTTGTGCCCCATTTTTGAGATTTAATAATGCATTTTTGGTTTATCTCTCTCGTCTTTGCAGAAACTGATTGATGGATAAAGAAATGGCATTTTTCTAATCCCAATAAGTTTTAAATGTTGAAATTTTATTTTTTATTGTAATTTATTTGCATTGATTTCATTCATTTTTACTTCCCGAGCGTAAGCTAAGGAGGTGTTGGAATAGAGTCCATCGGACGAATGGTTAGTTCCTGTTTTCTGGACGTGTCATGATCTCTGGAGTATGAAATAATAGGTCTTCCATTTTCATCTGTCCGCCATCTGTCTAAATTTTTTTAAACAGATAATTGTGTAAATGGTAAAATTTACCATAGTAAATGGTTTTTAAATTTTATAAAGTGACATACCCCTGTACTCGTGGTTTATGAATCCGTGCAAATATTTTACTCAAACATCAAAATTGTATAACAACATTTTGCAAATTAACTTTGAAACTGCAGTCTAAATGTTCAGAAATTTTTTCAAACGTTTTAAGGTTTTTGTAAACATCGTAAATCGTCTTAAAAAATATATTTTTATAAAACCAGAACATTGAAAACCGAAAAATTGAAAAAAAAAAATGCAAATAAAAAAATCTGGAATTTTAAAAATTCTTTTAGTTTATCGAAAAATTGTAATGTAGTTCAAAAATTTGACACTTTTGGAAGTTCTGAATTTTCTAGGATTTTTTTAGATAATTTCAAAATTTAAGTATTTTCCTATTTTTGCCATATAGAAATTGTAGGAAATTTTGTCGTTTAATAGGTTTTTGTAGTTTTTAAGTTTTTAGAATTTTTGCGTCAAAATCTGTATACTTATTTTATCATGTTTGAAATTTAGAAGTTTCTGGAATTGGTAGGTAGAACTTTGGAATTTTTGGAATTGTCAATTTTTTTTAATTTGTAAGGCTTAGAGATATATTTTATTATGACGTCCCTTTTGGAATTGAAAAATGGAAAAATTCTAAAATCATAAAACTGAAAAAGTGAAAAATTATATTTAAGATATTACGTAGGAGTATTTAAAATGGAAACTAGAAAAATTGCAAGCCAAAAATTGAAGAATTGAAAAATTGAAAACCGAAAAATTACAATCGAAAACTGGAAAAATCCAGAAATTGAAACTCTTCACAATCTAAAAAATTATTAAAAGCAAATAGTCATATTTGCGTGAACGAACTAAAATTTGCAAAAACTCGTAAATTTAAATTTTTCTAGGAATGGATATTTTCATGTTTTCTTCCACGTATGAAAAATAGATTATTATCCGAAACTACTGGACTCATTGTTGCGAAATTTTAGATGTATTTTACATATGGTGTACTTGTTTAAACATGGACTAAAATTTGTCTAATCATCTCTGCCAACAATTTTATGACGCCATCTCAAAATTTTATTTAAAAAATTTGACTTAAATTTGATAAAATAATGTATTTTTGTATATGTGGTTTATGAAGCCGCCTTTATTACTTCGCGACCCTAAGCTAAGGAAGTATTGTGATAGGGTCGATCGGATGAACGGCCAATTTCATGTTTTTTCAACGCTTTATGACCCTGGAGTTCGAAGAGTGTCAATTTTTAATTGACACAATCTCCGAAACTATTGGGCCAATTGTTGTCAAATTTTATACCCATGTTCGGAATATATATTTTTTTAATTTTAAAAATGGTAAAGTTACTTTTTACATTTGTTAGAATAGCCGTCATGAGACAATTTCGGACTATTAATTTAGATTATTAAAAATCCCAAAAAAACAAAAGAAAAAAATTCCAGAAACGCAAGACTTGCTAGAAAACCAAGAAAGTCAAGAAATTAAAAAATCTAAAAATCGCAAATATTCAAATAATCCAAAAAATCGAAGAATTTAAAAAATCTAAGAAACCCTAGAAACAAAAAACTCAATAAATCCAATAATTTCAAAATCCAAAAAAATGGAAGTATCCCAAAAATCATAAAATAAAAAAAAACAAATCGACAAAATCGAAAAACTCAAAACAATAAAAAAAAAATCTTAAAAAAACAAAAAACCTAAAAAAATCAATAATTGCAAAAATCCAGAAAATCTAAAAAGTCGAATCTATTAAAAACATCTGAAAAATCCGAAAAAAGACAAAAGAAGAAATAATTTAAAAACGCACGAAACGCAAAAAATTCATTTATCCAAAAATTTAATCTACCAAAAAAATCCAAAAAATTTAAGGAAAAATCCGAAAATTTCGAAAAATCCGACAAAAGAAAAAACACAAGAAAAAATCCAAACGCACAAGATTTCCAAGAAATCCAAGAAACTCTAGAAATTTAATAACTTGGAAGACCGAAAATATTCAAAAATTTAAAAAAATCCAAAAAATTTAATGAAAAACATCCAAGAAACCCAAGAAATTGAAAAAACTCAATTAAACCATAATTCCAAAATGGGCCGATTGAACTCATTTTAACAATTTTTTGGGAAACATTTTGAAAATTGCAAAATCCAAAAAAAATCCGAAGAAAAAACAAAAGAGAAAAGTTCCAAAAACACAATATTTGCAAGAAATCCAAGAAACTCAATAAACTAATTAACCTAAAAAATCGCAAATATTAAAAAATCCAGAAAATCCAAAAAATCTAAGAATTTAAAAAATCTAAAAATCATCTAAAACATCCAAGAAATCCATGAAACAAAAAACTCATTATATCCAATAATTTCAAAATTCAAAAAAAAATGGAAAATGCCCCAAAAGTGCCAAAAATCATGAAATAAAAAAAAATCCAAAAAATAAAAAAAAATCCGAAATAAGACAAAAAAATCTAAAAATTCAAACATTCAAGAAAAATCTTAAAAAAACAAAAAACCAAAAAAATCCAATCATTGCAAAAATCTATTCAAAACAATCTGAAAAATTCGAAAAAATCCAAAACCCAAGAAACGCAAAGAATTCATTAATCCAAAAAAATCGTAAATACATATTCCAAAAATTTGATGAAATCCAAAAAATTGAATCTACCTAAAAAATCCAAAAAATTTATGAAAAAATCCGAAAAAAAGAAAAACAAAAGAAAAAATCCAAGGGCACAAGATTTCAAAGAAATCCAAGGAAGTCAAGAAATTTATTAATCTAAAAAATCGTCAATATTCAAAAAAAATAAAAAATCCATAACATTGAAGAATTTGAAAAATCTAAAAATTTATAAATTCCAAGAAACCCAAGAAATTAAAAAAAATCAATAAAGCTAATAATTCCAAAATTCCAAAAAGTGGAAAATATCCTAAAAATCATAAAATCTCAGAAACTACTGGACCGATTGTTTTCAAATTTTATATGCATGTTTGGAATGTCGTATAGATGGTAAAACGCTTATCACAATTTGTTTAGGAAAAATTTTGAAAATTGTAAACTAATTTTCCCGTTTATTATATTTGAATAGATATCTTGAGGCGATTTGGAACTTGTAATTGCCGAAAGATTGCCTAGAATTTTACACCAATTCCCGGTCGATTGAACTCATTGTTATCACTTTTTTGGAAAAATTTTGATAGTTGGAACCGCACTTTCCACGTTTATTTGAACAGATATCGTGATGGCGATTTCGGATTTGTAATTATCTGAAAATTATCTACAATTTGACAGCAATTCTGAGTCGATTGATCTTATTTTAACCACTTTTTTGGAACGCGTCATTTTAGAGTTTTGCCGAATCTTCAAATTTATGAGTGTTTATGCTAGATAACTTTTTTTTTGGAAAAAAATGAGTACTTAATCAATCACATTTCATTTTCTTTCCACGCAACTGTCGCCGCAGATGCTTATTATCATCTAAACGCGCTAATAGTCGAATTCTTTCGAAGTATAATCATAAACAGTCGAAGTTGAGCATGTAATTGAGAATACATTTTTTCCGGTTGGTTGTCTGCTTTAAACAATTTCATGTAAATATCAAAATTTTATAACATTTTACAATCTAACTT